ATATACTAATTAATATAGATTAATACATTAAAAAACAGTCTAAAAAATATACGCTTTAAATAATATTTGCTACTCTTTTTAAATTATATTTTAAAATTTGTTTATTAGCTTATAATTTACGTTTTCTTCTTATACGTAGCGATATCTATATTATTTACCGTATTTACAACTTTTAATATATAAAAAAATACTTTAAATATTAATTATATAACGTAAAAAAAGCAAAACAAATGCGATATACTATAAATTTTTCGTTTAAGTTAGTTTTTTTTTCTAAGTTTATCCTAGATTTATATTAAATTAAAACTTAATTTATTATTTGCCGTAAATATTTTTATATATAAATAAAAGTTATATTTTTTAAAAACGTTATAAATTAAAATAATACTATATTTTTATTTTTTATTATAACAGCTTTAAATATTAATTAATATATATTAAAATTACTAACTTTAATTAATAAAATAAACATAAACTTTTTAATAAATATACTTTATTTTTACTAATATTTATATATTTATTATAATAATAATATAAACGTTTATAAAACGTAAACTAAATTTTTTATCGGTTATCTTAAACGCTAATATTATAAACTTTAATTTAAGCCTTTTTAATATAGGCAAAAAATAATTAAATATAATTAACTTTATAAAAAGCCGAAAGTTTTTGCTAGCTATACCGTTAAAACTTTAAGTATTTTTTATAAATATTTAAATTAAATATAAATTTAAATTAATTAAGGCGTTAAATCCTAATTATAATTAAAATTAGTATATAATTAATATATATATTATAGTAATACGTATTAAAACTTTTTTATTATTTAAAACTTTATTTAAATCTTAATCTTTTTTAACATATTTTATCGAAATAAAATAGTTCGCTATTAATATTTGGCCTTAATTTTTTAAAAATATTAAATACCTTATTATAAATTTATACTGTTTATAAATAAGTTTGATTTTTTTAGTATTAACTTTTATACTTTAATACTATAAATCCTATATATTTATATATCGTTAAAATATATCCTATATTATTTTATGTTTTTTTTCTTAATAGTTATTAATAATTTCTTTTTTATATTATTTTATTATTTTATACCAAATTACGAATATATTATATTAAATTTCGGTATAAATATAATAACGAAACTATTTTTATTTTTTAAAACTATTTTATAAATTATTAAAAAGTTCGATATTAAATATCGAAAACGTTTCGTTAAATAGATCCTCGTTATCGTCGTTATTGTTCATTAAGCTATTATTTTTAGCTTTATATAATTAAAGCAAGCTTTCTAATTCGATTAATAAAAACTATATATAATAATTACTAATTATATTAGTTTTTACGTTTTAACTAATAATATTCGTTAAAACTAAATTATTTTCTTGTTTATCGTTATATAAACCGGTTTTATAATTATATTCGTTATCGGCTGTATTAAATAAATCTTATTAACTAAACCTAAATTAAAATTTATTTATAATTAAATAAAATAATAAAATAATAATAAATATTAATAAAATAAACAAAAAATATAATTAAAAATTTTATGTTAATTTTAAAATATAAACGGACAAAATTTTAATTATTTTATATACAAATAACAAAATTTTCTATTATTTTTACTTTTATTTCTCTTAAGTTAAAATTTAAATTTTTTTTTTAATATAAAACTAGTTTATATTATATATAAACATACTGTTTATAATAACGCCAAAACTTAAGCTTACAACACTAAAACAATCTATACTAACTATAAAAATATTAGCCGTTTTTAATAAATATAATTATTAACGTTATCGCTATCGGAAAAAAATTACAAAAATACTATATAGTTTAACCTAAAACTTGTTTCTTTTTAGTCTATAAAAGTTATTTATACTATTTAGCTATTCGTTTTTAATCCGTAAACGTATTATAAATTTAAAAAAAGCAAACGCAATAAAAAAAAAAAAAAGTTTATAATAAAAATAGCTAAAAAAAATTATTTTTAATTAATTATAAAAACAGGTTATTATATAATTATATATATGAAAAACAAAAAGCGGCCTAAAAATAAACAAATATAATTAATATAAAATTAATATAAATTTTAATAATAATAGTATTAGCTTTACGTAATATTAAGCAATATTAAAAAAACATAGAATTATCAACGCTTAAATTACTTTTTTAATAAATTATACGTAAAATTATACGTAAATATTTCTCTTTATTTTATATTTAAAACAAAATATTAAAAACATTATAAAAAGCTATAAAAGCCTATATCGTTAAAATATTTAATTATATAAACTTATACGCTATATACGCTAAATAAATAACATTATTTTCTAAAAACTTTAATTTATTTTAATAGTTAAAAAAGCAACTAAATTACTAAATATTATAATATGTTTATTATTATATCGTTTTTATTTTTTAATAAAAAATAAAAACATTAAATATTTTACCAATTTATAATATTTTTATTATTTAATAAGCATTAAAAATCAAGATTTATTTATATTAAATATTTTTTTTTCTTTTTTTAAACTTAAATTAAATCAAATAAAATATAAATTTATATAAATATATTTATTATTTTAATTATTATTTATAAAAACCTTATATATAATTTAATTATTTATTATATTAACTATAATAATATTTTATTTATATTAGTTATTATTATTAAATTTAAATTAAATTAAATAAAATATTAATTTATATAAATATATTTATTATTTTAATTATTATTAATATTTTAATTAATATTTATAAAAACTTTAGTTATATATAATTTAATTATTTATTATATTAATTATAATAATATTTTATTTTTATTAATTATTATTATTAAATCTAAAAAAATCTTATTTTATTTTATAAATAATTAAAAATACTAACTAATAATAAAATATTAATAATAATAACAATAATCATAATAATAATTAAATATATATTAATAAAATTTATTTTAATTTTTAAAGAAAAAACGATTTATATAACGGTAAATACGCTAGTCCCGATTTAAAAAACTTTATTTATTACTACTAAATCTTTTTACGCAACGTTTTTTTTGTTATATATTTATATCGTTATATTATATTAACAAAAAATAACAACTTTTACGGCTTTAATACGGTTAATTTCGGGTTATATATTTTATAACGTTTTAAATATATTAATATTTAATACAGCTGTTTCTTTTTTATTTTAAAACTTTATATTATTTTAATAATATATTACCGGTTAATATAATAACGCTTATAATAATACTTCCTCGCTTTTTTATATATTAATTATATACTAATCGTTTTTTAAAAAACTGCTATAAAATAAGCATTTATAAAACAAATACTTAAGGTATAACTATTTCGCTTTTATATATATTAATCGTATATTAACCGTTATTTAAAAACTTAGTACTAAAAAAGCCTTTTATAAAATCGTTAAAACTACCGCCTAAAAAAATCGTAAAAAAGCCAAAAATCGCAGCAATAATATAATAAAAAAAGCATACTAACCCGATTTAATTATTAATATTAAAACCGTTTAAACCCCGGAAAAATTAAACAATAAAATCATTTTTTTTTAAAATTAACCTCTAATTTAATATTGTTTAAACCTTATTATACGTAATATATAACGTTTACAAATAATTAACGCCACTTTTTTATATATTTTCGGTACGTTTTTTCAATAAATCGTCAAAAAAATTACGCAAATATATAAATCAGATATAAAATTCTAAAAATTAGCTTTACTAACTTTTTAAAAAGTTACAAAAACTATATTAACTACTTTTTTCTTTAATATATTAAATATACTAATCTTATACTAATCGTTATTTTAACTTTTATAGCTTTAAATTTTAGCGTTATTTACGTTAAACAAATTACTTTTTAATATAAAAACATATATTTTATTTATAAAATCTTACGTATTATAAACTTTTGTTTTAACGTCGATTTAAAAAAAAACGACTTTTTATTTAAATCTAATTTTAATAATATTATAAACACCGTTTATTATATAATTAAAAATAAAACCTTATAGCTTATTAAAACTTATTAAATATAAAATAAAATTTAACGCAAACGCGACTAAAAGCTTACTAAGTATTTTATTAAAACGAAATCCGCTCGTTAGTTTATTATTAAAGCCAAAAAAACAAAAAAAATCTTAGCTTTTTTAAAACTTTAAACATATAATAAAAATAATTAATTAAACGATTAAAATTAATAAAAAATAAAGATTAATATATAATTAATACGTTTACTAAATGCGTTAAATATAAATAACTATTTTTTAATAATCGTATATTTTATCGATTTTTAATTGCATTAATTTTTATTATATAGCTTTTATTTACGTTATAAATATTCTTTTTTTTTAAAAAAACTATTACGCTTAATTTATATCTTTTTACTTTATTTATTTCGTTATTTAAAACCTATTACCCATAGGTATAACCCATTATAAATAAGTACCTAAATAAGTAATAAAGGCATTTACGTTAAGTAGTGGACTTTGCCAAAATACCCATAAGTATTTCTGGGTACCCATCGGGTACCCAAAGACATGCCTTAGGCGACTGGATGTCGAAGAGAATACTTTTCAGACTTGCTGCGAAGACACCGAGTAAAATCACCGATAAACGAGCAGAAAGTTAACAGGATCATAAAAAAAAGTAGTATTCCGAGTTCCACTTGATCAAATGCTATAGAAAATGAGACCAAAGAAGGTACCAAAAAACAAAAATATAAGAAAAAGTGCAAAGGAAATGCTCTAAATTGGGAAACCAAACGGGGCCCCGGGCTTCACGGTACTTAATTGCAAAACAATTGAGAGCGTGAAATATTTATTCTTTACCAAACCATCTCTCTTAACCACGCAGGTCTATAACTTGGTCACACTTTCGAAATGATGAAGGATGTAGAACACTACTTGCAGACCTTGAAGAAAAGAAAAAAAGACTTTTGAGAAAAAGTGCAAAAGAAATGCTCCGAATCGGGGAATCGAACCCCGGGCTCCACGGTGCTGCTCTTTTGAGAGCGTGAAATGTTAACCACTACACCAATTCGGAGTTGCTGATAGTTCACGCTCCCATTCTTATCTATATTCCGCGGAGGCTGTTGGGCGCGATCCCTGCAAAGTAGCGATGTGCGTGCGACCGGCGCTGGGCGAGGTGGGGTAACTAATGGCGCCGTGGCACTCGGGTCAGAGGGAGGGTGGCAGGTCGTTAAATTCTGTACGCTAGAGTCATATGCGAGGGCATCATATACGCCACGAACCAAGCTTTTACTCCTCGAGTAGCTATCCTGGGATATACATAGTGGACTGAAGATGTTCAAGTGGCGTACCTAGTTTGAATTGACGGTGCGTAACGTGAAATTGTACAGTCGAAGGGTCACTTTTGGATCCCAGTAGGTAGTGGGCGCACCAATTCTATCTCCCGTTAGGTCTTTAAATCGCTGTAAGGTAGGATACAGATCATCACGAGGCACAAATCAGGAAAGCTTGTCTTTCACGTGGATATCGATACAATTACTATGTTGGCCTTTTCGAATCTACTCAATCATACAGCGTGTGAAGGAAAAGGGTATTGATAATGCATGCATGACCCCCAAACCCGAAACAATCCTTTCCACTGGTCCGCAACCAACTCGTTGTCGTAACCATATCCGAAACGCCAGTCGCTCATAGCGTCAAATCATTGAGAGTGTGTTTGTCGTATTAGGTGGGAAAAGAAAGCGCGATACTCAAAATCGACCGCGGCATTATGGCCGCTTAGTGTCCGATACAGGTGCTGCGCCGCCATTCTTCGATTTCTGCTGATTATCCAGTTCCATCTAGGCACCGGGATACGCGTTCGTAGATTGGGATGTCTTGACGTTGTGGCCGCGGCGGCGCAGACTCTCGATACCGTCGAGAACGGCGAGGAAGGTGAAGATGATCCAAAGGAAGAAGGCAAATGCGGTGGCAGCCTGGGCCGAGTCGGTAAATACACCGTGGACGCTGGGCACACCGATAGCAACGGCGAAGGCGATGGCGCCCGCAAACCAGAATATGGCCGTCAAGACGTTCAGGACGAGAGCGGCAAGACGGTGGAAGACGGATGTCATGTATAGTGGCGTGACGCCGATGTAGATCAAGACCAAGAGGGACCATACGCTCGCGAAGATGAGGAAGTTGATGATCGAAGGCGAATAATTGCCATAGCTGGTACTAAAAAAGCTAGCCACTATTATCCATGGGCGTTAGTAGGATTACTTGTCGTGTCTGGCGGATGGTCACTTGCAGTATGCCGTCAGGCCAAGCTCGATGATGCAGAATACGCCGGCCACGATGTGGACGATTGGGGCGAATCCGAAAGCCATGGCGAGTGCCTAACGATGTAATAAGACTGATAGATTGGTGGTGATTAGTATTAGAGGCGGACGGCCGGGTGTATCTGATGCGATATGTGAAGCTCGGGAGATGTAGAAATGGCGGCAGTCCAAGGACAACTCTGAGGGAGCAAAGGTTATTAAAGACATGGAGCACACGAGACAGCCGAGACACCCACGTCATGGCACAGCTTGGACCGTGACAAGAGCGATCATGGCGGTGTCGGCCAAGCAAGGCCAAACCAAGGATGCTGGGCGCCTGCACGCTGACACATTAGTTCACCATTTTGCGACCCTGATGCGCCTGGCCTCGCCTGACCTTGGACTCAGCAATGGTAACAGCCCTGGATAGGCTTGGCGTAGGCTGATCGTCGTAGGGTTAGGACTGACATCTGGGATCGAACGGCAATGGACGGCCGAGGAGTCGGAACGCTGCCCATGCGAGCCACGTCCTCGTCCTGTGGGAAGACGGTAGAAAAACTTGGAACGAGGAGGGACGATGGCGAATGAGATTTTGGCGTCAATGACGTGGAGGGGTGTGATGAATCTTCAGCTGTTGCGCCACACTGGCACGCGAGTCGCCTGCATTGCCATTCCATTCCCATTCCCATTGTGCAGAGGGTTCTATGATAATTACAGGCAGCCGCTGTCTACTGTGAACTCGCTCGTACTCGCGTCTCTCATAATATCATTCATTCCGAGATACAGCAAGAGCTGATGTATTGAACACAGAATCCGCCATTGAGCTCTGCGTCGCTTTTACGTACGTGCACCTATGACCTGACCCCAGCCACTGCGTCGTCATATCCGTACTGTATCCGTCGTCGCGAGTCTAAAAACATGGAGGGGTGCCTGGGGTTGGGTATGACGACATGCACATTTCCTTTCCAGCAGGCCCCTTGTTTGATGGAATGCGACAACTCGTCATTGGCTGTCTCTTCTGCGTGAGAAGCTTGGGTTCTCGCTACCCTGTCGCCTGTCGTCTGTGACTTGTCGCATGCTCCGTCACCACCATCACCCATCTCTGCCTACCATCACGGCGACACCAAGTACTAGGTATGCCTAGCTGGCCATGGTCTAGATCCTTCCGTATAGTAGATTTCGATAGCTTGAGCCTCAATGTTTCGTCGCCCTCTGACATGATGCCTTTGTCGGTAACGGGTTTCCAAGACAAAGAAAGGTCCAATGGAGTTCACTAATGCCGGTTGTCCCTAAGATCATGTAAAACCATTACACCCTCATGATGATCCGCGACGTCTCTAAATATTGTTTTTCGAATCCGGATCCGACATATATTGCGGTCCTCAGCCGCGAATGGTTACGCATATGTCCTCTTTGATAATCACACGCCATTCAATCGCCCTGATATGAGGCTTAATCTGACGACGGAAATATGACCAACCGCAAACAAGATCCTTCCTTGACTCTGACAGGACACAGGACGGGGACACAGGTGGACAAGGATCCAGACATCAAATTTGTTACCGCAAGGTGCTCAGTGAACCTCAATATCAACTAACAAGAGACATATTCCAGGCATCTCGAATGTGACACAAATACAGTACCTACTTCACCGCAGCCCCAATAAATACGCAGCTGCAGGTCGATGGCCGAGAATAGCGGCGTCTTGATTTGCTTGGCGTCAATATTCTGCGTTTCGTTCCTCAAATGCTCAGATCAGGCAACACCAACACCAAATCCGATCAAAGATTCTTCCGACTCCCGCGCTTCATAGCCTATTCGCATAGCCACCACGTCAACGGAATTTACAAGCCAACACCGATTCACCAAGCTCGGATCCGTATTCGTTTTCCCGAACTGACTTGTTTCTGGATGACCATCAGATAGTCTATGGCATGTGGTATTAACATCCCAATGAAGCCTAAACACTACCTAAGTACCTAGTAATAACGATGCGAGCTGTTGAGCCAGATTTCGCAAAGCCGTATCAACGTCCTGAAGTTCAAACATTACTGTGTTGCTAATGCAGCATCTGAATCAATCTAAACGCCACGAGGACCGGAAAAGAACAAGAACGCTGGGAGATAGAAGCAACACGATGCCAAACCCATCGGCAGAACGCCCATCTTTCGCTTTAGCCATGCCTGTAATCAATAGTCGCACGATGCTATTGTCCGTTCTTTCGGTCCATCTTCCACATTTCACTTCACTTTCTCCCGTTTACTCTATCTTTGCACTTCTCACCTACCGCCTTGTCGCAATTCTTGCTATCAAACTCGATCCGGTGCCAAGCCGTTGCGAGGTTGCCACGAAGATTGTATATGCTCGCATGCGTCTCTGGTTGCGTATTATACGCATCGTCTGTCGCTTTGACGACGAAAGTCGTTCTCCCATCATCGTCGTCCCTGACCTCGGGTACGACGCCCTCGTACTTCCACCGTTTCCAGCACCACTTCTTTGAGCCCTGCTCGTGCTGGGTATCGTCCAGAAGACTCGCCTGGTCCCATGTCCTGCCGCCATCGAGACTTACGTCCACACGCTGGATCTCGCGCCCGCCGCCCGAGTACGCGTATCCTTCCACCTGGACCACTTTACCAGCAGCCGGGCTTGCGGTCGAGTCGAATGCGGTTGATTCTTGCGCTGGTTCGGGTTTCAACCGTGTTCGGGTGATGGCGGAGGTTATTGGCATCACTTGGATCGACTTGTACTTGTTCCAGTCCTGCTTGGTCTCGTTCGGACCGAAACACTTGTAGTCCCTACGCTGCCACGTCGTGGTGCTCTCCTCGTCGCTCACGACAATCCTACTCACCCACTTGACGGCTCTCGCAGCGACATGACCGGGGACGACAACTCGCACAGGAAAGCCGTGGTCACGAGGTAACGGCTTGTCATTCATCCGGAACGCGAGCAGCACATCGCCACGAGGATCAACCGCTGACTCGATGGGTATGCTTGCGCCGTATGCTTCGAGTCCGGAGAACTGCACGTGTCGCGCATCCTCGCCGGGATCAGTGACCGACAGACCAGCATCCGCGAGGACGTCCCGGAGACGCACGCCCTCCCACTTTGCACAACTAATTGCGCCGACAGTCCATTGCAGTCCATTCGTCTTTTTCGCGTGCGTTGTCATGTCGTGTCGCCGGTTGCCTGAGCATTGCAGCACTGCCGTGACTGAATGCTGTTTGAAGCGCTCTCGCAGCTCGCCGACGCTGTACACTCTCACCTCGCCGTCTGGGAGTTCGATGGTGACGGTGTGTTTATCTGCTTCTGCCTCGCTTATCACAGGCACCCACATGTGATTGCGAACGTAGAAAGTCTCATTTGGCGTCAAAAAGGCTTCGGCCAGTTCTTCGCCCGGAGTCTCAGCGTTACACGGCTTCTGCGTCAGCTGACGGAGACGCGTGTCTCGGTGCGGATCGGCGACAAACGGGTCATCGATATGATCTTGTAGTGGTTTGCCGTCGTGTAGGTCTTTGGTGTCCACTTTGCCAACGAGATACTGCTCTAAGATATCTCGTACGTATTGTGATTTGTGAATAGCGAATATGTCCCAGTACGGCTCGATACTCCCGCCTGCCGCGCGGAGTATGACCTCCCCACCAGGATGTGCGGCTACCCAGTCCGTGATATCATACACGTTGTCCTCGAAGATTACCCAGGGTCTTTCCGACTGGGCCCCATGCTCTCTGATCTCAGAAAGCCGATAGAGTGGTAGCCCATCATCCTCAATGTCTGC